TTTTGCATCTATGTTCATGAGGGAAATTGGCCTCTAGTTCTCTCTTTTGTTGCATGTTTCCCTGGTTTTGGTATCAGTATAGTACTTGTTTCCAGGAATGATTTTGGGAGAACTGTTCCCTTTTCAATTTCATTGACGAATGTGGGGAGTATAGGAATTATATCTTCTGTAAATTTCTTGTAGAATTCAGCTGTGAATCCATCAGGACCTGGGATTTTCTTTGTTGGTAGGTTTTTTTTTTTTTGTTTGTTTTTGTTTTTTTTTTTTTTACATTTCGTATTTCATTGGCTGTTATTGAGAGTTGTTATATCTTGTTGATTCAGGAATCTGTCCATTTCTTCTGTGTCTGCTATTCTGTGTGAGTAAAGATTTTCAAAGTAGTTATTGATAATCTTCTGAATTTCCACTGGGTCTGTGGTAATTATACCCTTTTCATTCATTATTGCTTGTATTTGAATTTTTTATTTCCTCTTTTTGATGAGGTTAGCTAAGGGCTTATCAATTTAAGTTAGTCTTTCAAAGAACCAGCTTTTTGATTCGTTAATAATTTGAACTGTTTTCTTCGTCTCAATTGAATTAATTTCTGCTCCAGTCTTTATGATTTCTTCTTGTCTTTTGGCTCTGGGTTTGGTTTGCTCTTCCTTTTCTAGATATTGAAGGTGCAATGTCAGGGTGTTTATTTGTTCCTGTTCTGTTTTCCTAATATGTGAGTTCATAGCTATGAATTTCCCTCTGAGAACTGTTTTCATCGTATCCCATAAATTACGATAAGTTGTGCTTGAATTTTCATTGAATTGTAGATATTGTTGAATTTCTTGTTTAATTTCATCTGTGATCCATTGGTTGCTGAGTAGAGTGTTGTTTAATTTGCATGTATTTATGTGGTCTTTCTGGTTTCTTTTGTCATTTATTTCCTTTCATTGTACTGTGGTCAGATAATATGCATGGGATAATTTTTGTGTTCTTGCATATACTTAAGCATGGCCTATGGACTAGCGTGTGGTCTGTTTTAGAAAATGACCCATGTGCAGCTGAAAAAAAATTGTATTCAGCTGTGGTTGGGTGGAACACTCTGTATATGTTCACTCTGTCCATTTGTTCCAAGCTATAGTTCAGTTCTGCTACTTCTTTGCTAATTTTTTGTCTGTTTGACCTGTCTTTTAGAGATAAGGGGGTGTTAAGGTTTCCTGTTAAGATTCTGATATTGGATATTAGATTTTTCATGTCCATTAAGATTTGTCTTATGTAGTTGGGTCCTCCAAAGTTTGGTACGTACATATTTATGAGTGTTACCTCTTCCTCTTTAATTTTTCCCCTAACCAGTATATAGTAGCCTTCTTTATTTCACTTGATCATTCTTGGTGTGAAGTTGAGACTGTCTGAGAACAGGATTCTACCCTTGCTTTTTTCTGAGGTGCTGGGTCATGTTGTATTCTTTTCCATCCTTTGACTTTCAGCCTATGAATTTCTTTGTGAGTTTAGTGTGTTTCTTGTATACAGCATATTGTTGGATTTTGTTTCCTAATCCATTATGCTATTGTATTTATTTTAATTGGTGAATTGAGTCCATTTACATTGATGGTTATAATTGAGATGTACTGACTTACAATTGATGTGTTATTTACCTGTTGTTGTTTACTCTTTTTTCTCTTGTGTTTGTTTGCCATATTTAGTAGGTTCCTTCTGCTATCGTTCATGGAGTTCTGATCATTTTGGTCCCTTTGTAGAACATCTTTTAGTAGTCTATGTAGGGTTGGCTTTGACATCTTGAAATTCTTTAGTTGTTCCTTGTCATCAAAGAATTTCGCTTCTCCATGCTGGGTATAGTAGTCTGGGCTGGAATTTGTTTTCATAGAGGACTTGAAGTACTCTGCTCCAAGCTCCTCTTGCCTTTATGGTTTGTGAAGAGAATTCTGCCATTATTCTGATGGGTTTTTGTTTAAATGTGATCTGTTTCTTTTCTGTAGTGGCTTTCAGTATATTGTTCTTGTACTGGATGTCTGGGATCTTGACCATTATATGTTTTAGTGTGTTTTTAAGTGGGTTGAAGTTATTTGGTGTTCTGTGTGCTTTGGTTACCTGAATGTCAGATTGTTTCCTCATATTTGGGAACTTTTCTACTATTATTTTTGCCTATATCCTTTTTATATAATGTGTATTAACTCATTTCTCATTGATGCCTATTAGTCTTACGTTGTTCATCTTTGCATCGTCTTGCAAGTGATGAATTTTTTTTCTTGCATCCAGGTTGTTTTTAAGAGATCTTTTCTTACCTTTTCACTAGCTACAATGGCATCTTCAAGATCTGAAACTCTATCTTCACTCTCACTCAAACAATTTTGCAAGCTTGTGATTGAGATTTTAAGTTCCTCTGTATCTCTTTGGCTCTGCTTCATGTGATCTATTTCTTTCCAGTATTGCTCATTAAAGGAATCCATCATTTTTCTAATCTCTTTTTTTTAAATCAGTGTCTTCTTGAGAAGCAGTTATTAATTCTTTTACTACAGAGATTATTTCTAATCTGATTTCCTCTATATGTTTCTACATTTGATTCTTTACTTCCGACACTATTAATTCAGAGATTTCTTTTATTTCAGAGCTTATGTCTGATCTGAGTTCCTCTATACCATGCCGCAGTTGATTCTTTCCTTCAGACACTATTGATTCAGACATTTCTGCTGTGCGATTCCCAATTCCTTCTGTGCTGGTGTCCTCTGCACTTGTTCTGGGTAGGCCTGGGGCCTGAGATTGCAATTTGCTCCTTCTCTTTATCATTTTGTATAGCACTGTGCTCTGTCCTTTGGTGAAGAGCTTTGGTGAAGCACTCACTAGGCCTGGGCTTGGACTGGCTCTGGAGAGGTGGAGGGATCCCGAGAGCATAGCTGAAAGTCTCACTCACGGCAGCCTGAACTTGGTCCGGGGAAGTCCAGCAGGCGCAGGGGAGCTCAGAAGCTCTCACACGCACTCGTCGGGCCTAGGGTTGGGCTGGCTCTGCAGGGGTGGAGGAGTCCCAAGAGCGTGGCGGAAGGTCATACGGGGTGGGCCTGGGCTTGGTCCAGGGAGTTCTAGTGGGCCACAAATGCATTCTTAATGGGAGGGGAAAAGAAAGCCTAATGAATTTGTTTCTGAAAACTTATATGCAAAAAATAGCATGGAAAGCAGGCCTTCTCCTCCTCAGAGCTTGTCCTTGGCATCAACAGCGGGCTCTCCGGTCCTATTAACTGGGCCTGCCCAAAAGGTGTTTGCCCCATCCTCCATAACGAATTGGGTTTTCTACCAAAGGAAACTCTGGGCCTGATGTCGCATTGCCCAGCTGCTGAGAGGCTCCAAGCCTGCTCATTAGTTCTCTGCAAGTGAGTAAACCTCAATAGAGGGGGGTCTGGAAATAGCTCGGAAGTCAGAGTAGATGCAGCCGCGCAGGCGCTTTGGCCACCCAGCGTGCTTAGCCTTCTACTCCTCAGCACATTACTGACAGGCCCCAAATTGAGAATGCTACTCATATAATTAGATGGCTACAAAAAGATCGCGAAATACCAGACTTCACAGTGAAGTGTGTGCTGTGTTTGCGAGCATGCGTAGAGAAGAGCGCGCAGCAGACCACACAGATCCGCATCCCGCTTGCACTCTCTGGCCTCGCCACAGGATCCGCACGCACGGATCTTGCCCCGTGAAGGACCAGAGCTGCCACCACACAGGCTTCCGCAGCCACAAGGCTTACTCAGAGCTGCGCTCCCGGACCTTCCATGGTACGTGACTGACTGACCATTTTAAGACCAGCTGTGCTCCCGTCTTAGAGGAGGAGCGGCTTCCCAGCTGGGTGGGGTCGGGGTCCTGTGCACCCAGCTCGCCGGGCTTGGATTTTTGCCAGAGGGTTTGCACACTCCACACCCTCTGTTTCATGGCCCTGTCACTGACCTGGCTGACCCGGCTGGCCATGGCCTTGCACCCTGACCTCACCCCTTGTGGTAAGTCGGTGCTCAGTCCCACCTGGAAGTGGCTGCTTCCCCCCTCCCAGGGCTGTAGACTTGGGACACTGGCCACACTCCTCGCCGGGGTGTGTGAAGCTGGCGTGGAACCTGGGTCCCCTGCGGCCAGCCTCTGGGTCCGTCACTGTGCTTCTCTGACCTGCGCCGCTGTTGTAGCTGCACAGCAGGACTCAGGGCTGACTGCCCTCGCAGCACGGCACATGGCCTCTCTCATGCCACCATGGCTTTCAGGACTCTGCTGTTATGGGCTGGTGCCCCCCTAAGTGGGGATCTTCTACCTCAAAGAGATTGTGGGTCACTTTGTGCTGAAGTGTTCATGGGGCCAAAGCGGAGATGCATACGTGGTGTCCACCACCTCTAATGTGTCCTCTTAATGCAGTGATTTAGTGGTTGACGGTGGACACAGTGCAGGGCTGTGTGGGGCCATCAGGTGCACCTTTGGGACTCACAGTCGCCCTGCCCACAAATGGATGCGGTGAAGCTTGGTACAAACCAAACCACTTTCTGAGGCTCCACGTGTCCTTTGCAGTCAGGGCTTCATGCTCCCCACAAATTAGGAAACACAGACCCATCAAATTCTTGCATCTGAAGTTGCACATCTTAATGCCATAGTACCTACCTAGTCTTACCAAACCGACTGGCAAACAGGGTTACCACTACCAGATTCCTGAGGGGTCCAGGGTGCCCCAGCAATGGTGTCACTCATAAGATAGGTGATGGACAGGCAGGTGAGCTGTGGCCACCTTGTCTAATAGGTGTGTGTGTAGACTGTGTGATTTCTATGAAGAAACTACCCATGAAGGTGAGAAAGTGGTGGGTGATGGCAGGGACAGGTACGCTCTGGGATACGCTCCTGACCCGAGATGAAGAGAACTGAACTTCCGAGATGGTCGGGCACTTCAGCCGGAGCAAGCCTCCCTGCCTGGTCTCCTACGGAATATTAATACTCAAGATCTTTTGTCCTGTTCTTAAGCCCTGGAGTTTGAAGCAATGTCCACTTCTTTCCCTCTCCAGTGATCTCGTGCGGGAGCCTGTCCTTCCCCCCAAATGGTAACAAGATCGGGACGCTGATGGTGTACGGGGCCACTGCCATCTTCACCTGCAACACGGGCTACACCCTGGTGGGCTCGCATGTCCGGGAGTGCTTGGCCAACGGGCTGTGGAGCGGCTCTGAAACACGGTGTCTGGGTAAGTTGATTCACTACTCTCTGGCTTCCTGCCTGGAATACATGGCTTCCTGGTAGATGTGGAAGGACATTATTTCTAATCGGAGCAATAAGGAAAGGTCATATATTGCTTTATGGACATCGAACTGTTCCATAGAAGCTCATAGTATGACTGCAGCCAAAACTCTCACAGAGATGGATGCATAGATGCGGATGTCAAAAGGACCACAGGAAATAGGCCTTCCAGGAATGGGGTGGAGGCCAGGAAAGGCAGAGAAGGGGGAGGGGCGGAAAAGAATTAAGATATGTCCTGTTTGTGTGCCAGATACCCACAATGAAAATGGTCGTTCTGAATCACAAATGTGTACTGATACATTTTAAATACCATGTCAAGAAGTTGCGTGACGTCAGCTGAAATCTGAGCAAGCACAGGGAGTTATGGAAAACAAAATGCTTCCCCAATAACCTGCCCTCCCTAAGATGCTCATGCATACTGTGTAGAATGTGTGGCGGGTTGCAGACATTTGCAGTGACCCTGCTCTGAATAAATACATGGCAACCATGAAGAGCCCCTGGCAGGGCAGCGGTGAGCCCAGACGCCTCCAGCTGCACGGTCTCTGGGAGTGTGTCCACTGCTGGGGCCTTTCTGAACCTTCTCTGTGCCCTTCGGCATGTCTTAGTCTGTCCCAACCCTGGGCCCTAGACCTCTACATCTTATTGGGCTAGATCCGCTCAGGATTAGGAAGCCTGGCATAGTAAATATGTTCTCTTGTGTGGGTGAAATTTGAAGGAAGAGGATATAAAGCTGTGACCTCAGAGAGAACCAGCCAAGGGAGGAGGTGCTCATACCCCGCCACACAGCGGGTAACAGTTCATACCCTAAAGTCCTGCAGTGCTTTCTGAGTGCTGCCTGCATGGCCTCTGCATCTGTTTTATCTTAGATAGTATCGGGTAGTTTCCATAGTACAATTGTTAAACATGACGTTTCGCCTCTTGCCGTCGGGTGTGGACCCTGCAGCTTGTAGCAGCTCCCAAGGCCCTTGAGGGCGTGGTCCCTCCCGAGGTCCCCACAGTGTCCTGTGCCCTCCCAGCTGTTCCTGGAGGCTGCGGCTGCTGAGCTGCTCCCTCCTGCAGGCTGCTCCGCTGTGGGCTTGGTCTGCTTTGCTGCTTGGCACTGAGGAAGGTGGCAGTGCGCTCAGGAAGTGCATGCCCTGACGGGGCCACCAAGGAGCTCAGTGGAGCAAAGCGCCTGCTTAGGCAGATGCAGAGGCTGGCATTTGATCCCTGACAGACACCCCCTCCACGGTGCCTGAGATGGCTACTGACAGTAGGTGTGGTGGCATGCACCTGTAATCCCAGCTCTTTGGGAGGCTGAACACAGGCGGTTCATTATAAATCCTATCTACATAGTGAGATCCTGTAGACCTTTACTACAAAAAAAAAAAAAAAAAAAAAAATGCTCTGAAACATGGTCATCTCTGATGGCAACCCTAAGGTTAGATCAACAGCAAATGGCATTTGATTAGGCTACCACGAAGGTGGCTGCATTCCTGACTTGGTCTTGCTCTTGCTGGTGAGAGAGGTTGATGAGGCCACAGTGCAGCCCCGGGGGTTCACGCTGCAGGGCTGGGTCAGTCTGAGTCTTTGGGTCCCCTTGCACCCTTGCCTACTCGGTGTGGCTCGGCTGGAAGGGCAGAGATGGCAGTGGGGAGATGGGGCGTGTGTGAAGACAGCCTCCAGAGGCCCCTGGGCCTGGCCTCGGTGGCTGCACAGCACCTGAAAAGCGCTGGAAAGATGACTTGCTCGGAATTGAGCACCTGAGGAAAAATGGTCCAGAGTGTAACGTGGAAAAGAGTGTTGTAGAAATTACATGTGTCACATGACCAATAACACCAGAGGAGGCACAAAGTATCTACAAGGAGAAAAGAATCAAGGGGGGTAGAGGTGGTACACGTCCATGTACGCACGTGCACACGTGGTAAGCAGTGGGGACGCACTTAGTGTGCAGATGAGTCGGCAGAGGCTTGTGACCACCACGGAGCCCAGCAGGGCCGCAGTTCTCGTACCCATCACCCAGGTGAGGCAAGTTTCTCCACCACCAAGGCGACGGCTGCTGGAGGGCAGATAGTGTGAAGTCACCAGCCAGATGTGTCCCCAGGGGAAGCCACCTTGTCTCGTCGCATGTGGCTCACAGCTGGGCAGGTAGAGACGGAGGGGCGCCACAGGCGGAGCGGGTGCAAGATGCGCGGACAGGGAGCTCTCAGGGCTCTGAGCCTACACCTGGCAGCCATAAGCCGCAGAGCACACGGGGCATCTCCACAATCCAAGCCCTAACCGGGCCTTACTGGGAGACCAGATGTCTGAGTGACCTTATTTGCCAGTGAGTTAAAAATAGACACGACACTGTTGCATTTTATCTTAACATGTGGTCAATTCTTACTGCTTCTGTTTACGAAAGCCAAAAAGCTTAGAGAAGTAATGGATTCGTACAACTTAACAAAAGTGAGGAAAAGCAAACACTGCACTCAGACGTAAGCACTGTGGTCACAGAGCAGAGACGACGTCTGGCCCGCGACGCAGCGCTGGGGGCCCTGGTGCCCCTTTCTTGGGTCTGGCTGCAGGAGGAGGGCGTCGAACACAATGCTGCCTTCTTGGGCTGTTTCTGCCCAGAGAGAAGCTGTTTCCTACTTAACCTGCAGTGAACTAAGCTCCCCATCATCCACACGGTTCCCATGCTGAGCCCAGGAAGGCCAGAGGCCCCCTGCCTTACGCCGCGTGGCTCCAGATGCTTACAGACTCTTGCTTACCCATTTCATCATTACTTTTCTTCCATTTCATAACTTGTAGATTGGATAACCCTTTCCCACTTCCACCACTGTGGTCGTCTCTGACTTGAGCAAGCTGAGTGGTCTTGGTAAAACTTCAAGATTACCTGGACCTGAGGGACATACACAAGACGGTCACGGGAGGGAATTCACATGCACTAACCACGGGGGCATTTGGTGATGATTTTTCAAAAGCAGGAAAAAAAATTCTATATAATTCCATGGCTTCAAATCTAAAAGAAATTTCCCCACTCAACCAAACAAAGTAACAGCCTAAAACTCATAAATGAAGAGCAGATCATCCAGTGAGGAGATGCAGCTGCCCGGCACGGTCGGGACCTTTGGTCTTCAAGCGGAGCAGCTTCCCGCGGGCGTGTTCCAGAGGATGAGATGCAGTTTGAGGGACAGCATCTCGACAGGCAGTGCCGCCATGAGTTGGGACCAGTGCAAGCAGCCAGGGTCCCTAAAAGCGCACACAAACTGTGTCTGACATACAAGCCACATTCAGTCATCAGAGATGAAATGAAAATAACCACATGAGCAAGCAGCACAGAAATCCCAGCCACTTCTTAGTGCTGTCTTTTGCATAGGCAGCATCATTACGGCAATGCGAAGGTTGGAACGCCTTCCTACCAGAAGCTGCAGGCCACGATGGAAGGGAGCTGAGTCTCCTGGCCAGGACTGTTGCTGAGCAGGATGTGGGGCCATGGGAGCCACCCCTGTAGGAAGCATGCTAGGATGAGCCGACGTCTCCTGCTCCCTCCGACAGGAAGTGGCTGCCAAAGCGTGCGGCTTACTCTGATGATAGGTAGAGCAGAAGGGAAACATATTTTTCTACTTACTGCAGATACGTGTTCCGAAGAACTAACATCATTTCTTGGCATCGCACGTTAAAGCTCTTCATTGTCTGTTTGATGTCACTGGAGAGGAGCTAAGAGCTACTCCAGAGGAGGTGCCGATGGATCCAAGCTGCACTTGTACCCTCCATCTGAGCGTAATGATACTAATAGACTGAAGATGGTATTCAGTGACAAATTCAGAAATTCTTACGTTTTAATGATAAACTAAATATCTAAGCAAATAATAGAAACTAATGTACAATTCCCCTTAAGGTTAAAAAAAAAAGTGATTCCAAACATATATAATGAAGAGAAGGTCATGAAATCACAGCACATAATCCAGCAACAGCTGTCTCAGCTCAGACCAAGCACCCCCGTGCAAATTCTGCCTCAACTGTCACGCTGTGCAAACCCTCCATTTGCACCCCGCGTTCCTCAGAATTCCACATGCACATGAGCAGAGATGAGTGACCCGGACTTTGTTCACTGCAGGTAAGCACGTGGCTGGACCCTGCCGCCCCAAGCTGAGTCCTGTGGGGGCCACACCAGGAGAGTGGTATCCAAGAAGAGGAGGTTAATTTTCTTTGCCTCACGTTGAAGAACCAAATCTCTCCTTTGTTGGAGCCTCTTGTGTGAATTCTACTCCAGAACTTAGACAGCGGGTGGGATAAGCTGTAAATACCGTGTGGACAGGCTCACGCAGTGGTGCACGTTTGCATCCAAGAACCTTCTTATAAAAGCTGCACCATGCTGAGCCTGGGATGTCCTCGCTGCTTGACAGAGGGGTCTCCCGCATCCTCAGAATCGGTCTGCACTGCACAGCGCCACAGAGCTCTTGAGGGCTGGATAGTGTGCTCCCCGCTCCACAGCCCCTCACCCCCAGGAGCATCCAGGTCCTGTGCTCCCTGTGCTGTCCTCTTGTGTCCCTCCACCACCCCATCAATTGCCTTCACTGCCCTGGAGCCCAAGCGCTAGAGAGAAGTGTCATGTTTGTATCCCAGGGCCCCTGTTGTAAAGTCCGTGCAAATCTTCGGTGACATTTACATCCCTTAGACTTGTCACCACATCGTGGCCTGTCGTCCCTCCCTGTGCCTCTGCTCAGTCTCCCATGCTCAGGGTGCTCTGCTGGAGGCGTTCCCACGCACGGAGCGCTGCCTTTGCGAGACTGCGTGGCTGCTCTCTGAAGCTTGCGCTTGCTGCGCCGGAATGACCACAGGGTGGATTCTACCGCAGCCGTAACCTCCCCATGACACTGTGAAGGCTAAGTCGCTAAAGGCCGCACTGAGCATGACCTTGGACCATCCATGCAGTTCTCAGAGAGTAAAATTGGAACATCTGCTCCAAGTACAGTGTGTATGTTTGAGAGATTCTGTGAAACCGCTTAATAAATCACAACTAAAACACGTTACAGCAAAGAAAGAATGATTTGGAGCAGGCAGACTTCTCCTGTCCCCTCTGACACGTGCTGTAATAATCTTCAGTGTCAAATATATGCTGCAGGCCAGTCAGGGCGGATAGAACGCTTGTGAGCAAGCTATGCGCGCACTGGGCCCTTGTGTATGCAGTGCTGTCGAGCCGGAGGGAGGAGTGGCACCTGGGACCGCCCCTGGGGGCCTCTGGAGGTGGCCCAGTGTCACTCCTTAGTTCCTCAAGAACCACCAAGTGGCATGTGAAGGATAGTAAGATAGGCAAGATCCTTCATGTGGAGTCCATAGTTGAAGAGAAGTAAGGGGAGTTCCACGGGCCGCGAGTGAGGAGTTGCGAGTCTGCTCCGCCCAGACAGCCACAGCTGGGCCTCTGGTTAGGTGGAAGGCGAGGCTGGTGACACAGAGGGAGACTCACCGGGTCCTGGGGACAGTTGGGCAGCAGGAAGCGATGGCTGCATGCCATCCTTGTCGGAACGTGACGCTGCACTCAGAGATGGTCCTCCTGGTGGTGGTGTGCAGCGAGCTTGGGCCGCAGTGCCATTGCGGAGCCTGAAGCAGAGCACACCAGCAGTGCAGCTCCAGGGGGCAGAATTTCAGCAGCTGTCTCTAAAGACAGGTGCCCCAGTACAGAGAAAGCCCAAAGTAGGTCACCGCCAGGTCAGGTGAGGATGGACAGAACTCCCTTCGGGATTTGTTTGGGGGCCGCATGCGCAGGGTGGACTTGGACCGAGTCCTGAAGGACACGTAACTTCCACAGGCAGAGAAGCCCAGCGGGAAACCCCGGGCCTGAGGGCCACACGTGTGCAGGCAGCAGCTGCCGCGTGTCCTGCAGCTGGGAGCTGCTGCACAGCCAATGCTAGCAGGGAGACGCCGGGGCCCCACTGCCCCACCGTGCGCCCTTCTTCACCGCAGATGGACCCTCAGATTTCTGCTGTTGTCTGGGATGTGCAAGGGATCTGGCAAACACCACTGGTGGCGCAGAAGTGGGGTCATAGGTGGAGGAGCGCCCCGACCCCCGTGGCTCCCCCCCCCCCGGGCAGGGCGAGTCCCTGCAGGGCCCATTGGCCGGGGCAGGTCAGCCGGACAGCGTCCCCCGGCAGGGGCACTTGGAGAGGAGACGGCCCGTGCATCAGTGTGCCCTGGTGTTCACGTAATCCCAGATCGCGAGGCGCAGATGCATCCGTGATGCTCAGTGCCGGCTGTCGCTTTTCTGCCACAGTACCTGTGCACCTGGCCCACCTGACGTCTTGCGACTATTTATTGGTACTCAGGAGAAGCCTGTCAATTGGCGCTGACATTCACTGTCCAAATAAGACTGATTTCGCCCGAAGACCCTGAGCACACAGGGTGGGCAGCAGCCTCACACGGTGCTCGTTCTCCTCGGAGTGGGACATGTGTAACGCTTCCTGTTTAGTTGTCACCAAAAGGCACCAATAAGCGCAAAGCAAATAGTAGGGCTGAATATTTGGTTCATAGATTTTCTAAAACTGGATTCGCTTCTAATCCCCATACCAGTATTTAATCTCTGTACCAGCACAGGCAGGAGTGCTGCAAAGGTGACCCCAGCGCAGGCCCGGGGGGGTTGGGAGCTGCCCTGGGGTGCCCCCGGGAGGAGGGGGCAGCGCCCACTCGGCGTGGGGCCTGCTTACTGCAGTGCAGCTGTGCCCCCGCAGTGAGGTGTCACGCCCCAGATCAGAGATCACTTAAATTCCCACGGGTCCACAGACAGTTGTCCCTGTTTCTCCTGGGGACCAGGCCATGGCCTCTGCAGGTGCCCAGACCCTCAGGCAGGGATGGCCCATCCCGTGGCACACCCAGTACAGAGCTCACCTGCACCTAGCCCTGTCCCCCTCGGGGCCACAGCCCTAGATGTCATGCGGGTCCCAGCATGGCGCAATGTGGCAGTGGCTTCTCCACAGTGGGCAGGAAATGGCCAGGAGAGGAGTCATGTTCCTGACAGATGCAACTTGGGAAACAGTTTCCAGCCCTCCCGGGGAGTGGAGCTGAGCACAGGAGCTCAAAGGCGGGCTTCGTGCAGCTTTGCCGTGGTCTTCCACGGCATCCGTGAGATTCGGGTTGAACACTGAGTGAACTCTGGAGTGCTCTGTACTTCGGAGCCTGCATGAAGTCAGTGCAAAATCTGTGTCAAAAAATACCTCACTGACAGCTAGAAACACAGGTAAGTGTTTAAAAATCCCAGTGACAATCCTGGTGTGCTGTGCCATGGTGGCCTACGCCTGTAATCCCAGTGCTTCGGAGGCTGAAACCAGGAGGATCACCGAGTCTGCTCTACGTAGTGAGACCCTGTAGACCCTGTAGACCCAATACTAAATACAAAAGTAAAAACAAAATCTGAAGTCTCACCTGCTTTCTGCTTGTCTTGAAGCAGGAAGTCCCGAGCAGCTTTCCCACACAGCGGGGACCCCCAGGCGGCCTTGCCTCACGCTGCTCGGGCACCCCAGGCATGTGCCCCCATCTGCTCTTGCCCAGTGCTGGCTGGCTGAGGAGATGCCTGGGGAGCTGGCGCCTCTGAGCTGCTCAGTCCAAGCCCACAGTTGCCTGTAACTGTTCCAGCATTAGGGACTCTGTAAGATGCCTTCAGAGGAGAGAGAGAGAGAGAGAGAGAGAGAGAGAGAGAGAGAGAGAGAGAGAGCACATGGGAAGGTGGCGGAAGGGAAAGGGGGGAAGAAATGAGAGAGCAGGGAGGGCGACAGCCGGAGAGATGCCGCTGCTGTGGACTCTGCCCACAGCCTGACTGTGGGCCTGGGCTCTGCCTGTCCCTCTCCGTCTCCCTCTTTCCATTTTCATCCACCTCCCTCCCTCTCCCTCTTCCTCCCTCCCTCTCTCTCTCCCTGCCCCTCCCTCTCCCCATCTATCCTTCTCTCCCTCTCCCTCTACCACTGTGTCCCTCTGCCTCCCTCTCCCTCACCCTGCCTCCCTCCCTCCCTCCTTCTCTCTCTCCCTGCCCCTCCCTCTCCCCATCTCTCCTTCTCTCCCTCTCCCTCTACCACTGTCTCTCTCTGCCTCCCTCTCCCTCACCCTGCCTCCCTCCCTCCCTCCCTCTCTCTCTCCCTGCCCCTCCCTCTCCCCATCTCTCCTTCTCTCCCTCTCCCTCTACAGTGTCCCTCTGCCTCCCTCTCCCTCACCCTGCCTCCCTCCCTCCCTCCCTCTCTCTCTCCCTTTCCCTTCCTCTCCCCC